AACTTACATTAATGATGATGAAAGATATGTGTTGTCTGGATTGAAAGTTCTATCAAAGATGCTAGCATGATGATCACTCTCACAAGGTGAAGACTCGTCTTCGCTTTGATTGGGAGTTGATGTGCCTACTGGTATTGCAGTGATTTGGTTCTTCAAAAATTGAGTTACCACTTGGTGGTACCTCTGTCAAAGGCAAATCAACTCCAGTGATTTGGGGGTCAGTTTGAGTTTCTGTAAACAAAAGACAATGTTTATATTGAATATTGAATTTCTAAAAATTATCATTTATTTTTATTATAAAAAGGGCATTTTTTGATATTAAAGTTACTACGGTATAAATACTAATCATGCAGCAGGTATAACTGCTACATTTAACAATATCAGAAAATAAAAATAAAAAATAAGAATTTTACCTTTGGTACACATTTTTGAGCCAACTTGCACACGCATTGAGCGTTTAGACTTTGTCCCTTTTTTTCTGCACTTTGTAGTGGATGTTTTTGAATTATCCTATAATAGTATAATATACATGTAGATTTTTTTTAAAAAATCATACAGTGCTTTAATATCTGAATTACAAACTTAGTACATAGATGTAATAATGATAATAATAATAGCCTAATTAAGCAATAATAATATAATAAATAAGACATTGAGTTGGTAGACTGAGAAAGGAGTACATACAAATTAAGTAATATTAATACCTGCAAGTTTCTGCTCTGCTGATATTCTTTAACAAACAAGGCTAAATGAAATGATGCATTTTCAATTGTTGCAAGGTACTGGCAATGTGCTTTCACCTTCCTCACTTTTCTGCCTACTATCTTCTAATATGTTTTCAACATAATAGAATATTGAAAAAAAAAACAAAAAACAAAAAAATAAAAACAATACAAATTGACCTAATTATAAAATATCAATAGTTCTAGACATAGAATGCATAATGGCATCTAATATTAATGATGATAAAACATAGGTCTGCCTATATTTTTAGGTTAGCCTCTAATCTCACTACCTATATAGAGCAGGAGCCCAGGGGTGTCAGCATAGCTGGAAAGTTAACCAATTTCTGTGTATATAGTA